AATGAGTATTTACCGCTTCGATCTGCAGCCGGTAGATTTTCGGCACTTTTGACCTTAACGTTTAACGTGCCCATGTCTGAAAAAGAAAATAAAATGTTCCAATTGAGAATGTTATTCGAAAACTGGTCGATCGCGACAAAACTAAACAAGACGTACTCTCGACGCACTCTGCAGGATCCAATACATAATCCACCGGTACATATTGTACATTCAGGTAGAGCAATGCATCTGAGATTCCATCGATCTTGAGGGCAACGCCCTCTGGTGATTCTTTGCATTTTTCAATCAAACTATTTACATTCTCAACGGCAGTGCCAATCGGATTTTTGTCGTTGAACTGTCTAATATTAAAGGTGACTTTGGCCCAGTCCAACTCCTTGACAAAAACATCCAAGACTTGATTGCAAAAAAAAAATAAAAGTTTTTTGTTTGTGAATAACCTTCAAATACGTAAAATCAAACCATATGAGCTTTAATAAATTTGCGTACCTTGATTCCACACTGGATTTTGCTCCTTGCATTTATTTGAAGTACAAGAAGGGAATAACGCATTATCAGTAAGAACATCAACAAAACCACCCCTTTTTTCCATTTTGGCCTTCTTAAGGGTAATTATTAAGATTCCGGATTCTGAAGAAAAGAAAAAGGGTTAACGAATTTGATCAAACAATATAAAAATGTTATTCTACTTACGATATTCCGTGTTATCAACAACGACTCTTGGTATTTCAACTTTTGGTGGATCAACAGCTTTTGGAATTTCAGCGGTATCTCCCCCATCATCGCCTGATCCAGCTTCTGGTGCTTCAACCTCATCTCCTTTTTTGTCTTCTGATGCAACCTCCGGTGGTGGTATTATTGGATGAAAGCTGGCTGTGAAATATAGATTACCTCGAGTTTCTCGGTTAATGTACAATGGAGCGGATCTAAAATTAAAAGAAAAATATTTCGCGATTTTTAAAAGGCAACTACACACACACCAACACAACGATATGTTAAAAATACTCTTTACTCACGTATCAAGTGCATCTGTGGACGAGTAGGTGCCATCTTCGTTTTGTTTGGATAATTGGGTTACTTTGAGCTCTGTTGACCCTAATAGTTTGTCTTTTCCTGTGTTTTCGTGATCCCAGACTTCGATGTTAATAAGTTCTCTAGCAGAATGCACCGGTATGTAGAATATTTCATCTTTCCATTCGGGATTAAGAGTATCCGGAACCATTTCAGTTCTACCGCGAGAAACATTATTAAGTTTAATGGAAACATATGGATCGGATTTTCCTGCATTATCGAGAATCAGACAGCTTTTAATATTAAAACAAAGAGATAGAAACAATAATATAACAAGTAACCTCTGAGTTGTCCAGAAGATTTGACATCTACAGCTTTCTTGATGTGGAGTCTGATGATACCAACTGGATTGACTGAAAAGAGAAAATTCTCAATACATGGATCGTCGTATTAAAGATTCCAAGTGCTATTATGGCCTAAGCAAATATCTAACAGCTCACCATATGCGCCAGTATTGAAATCCAGGCTACCATCAATCAATATCGGCTTCCAAATGCAGCTCATTCGTAGTTTACCAGCCGCATCCTGTACATTGAACCAATCGTTCTTTGATGATAAAAATTCACTCAATTTTCCTGTCCAGCTGGCAACAACGGGATCGGCTGCAAGATCACGAGAATCATAGACTTTAACGGCGATTTCAACTCCGGCCTTGTCTGTAACAAACAATTCAACCGGTTCCTTTAAATTCCAAAGGATTCAATAAACTGATGCAATAATGGGAAAATTTTCAAGCACCGACGGGAAATTCTTAATATCTTACCTCCCAGACAGGACTATTATTCCTTTTTATGACCTTTGTGGTGTGAACTTTCTTACCATTTAAGTATATTTCCGCATACGGATTGTATTGACCAACCATCGAACGTTTAGGATCAAGGTCTTTGGCTTGATGGATAGTGAATCTCAATATGCCGACATCTAAGAAAAAGAGAGAGAGAGTGAGAGAAAGGAAAAAGTTGTTTTCATTAACTATCTGTTCAACGGAGACACCAAGAGAATACAAATAAATCATACTAGAATCAGGAGTCGGTTCTTCTTCTGTGGGTTCCACGACCGGACACCAGTTCATATCAAATTTGATTTCACCGTATGCTTTACTGTTGAGGTACACAGGAGCTGTACTATCATGATCAAGTTTATCCTGTCAGCATTGATAGCGGTAAGGTATACAATTCAAATGAAATACTTACACCTCTTCCTGCTTAGGATTTTCAGCCAAAGTTGATAGAAGAAATGCTGCAGTTCCCATCGAAGTGTCCTTGGTCACATCGTTAGAATCATATATTTCGAAATTCAAAGTTTCGCTCAACGTGTTTATAATCAAGTAGAACGTTTCGTTCCAAACAGGGACCAACGTATCGTTGATAACTCTGGTTTTCGCGAGCACTTGACCTCCGCGAATGGTTAATTTGCAATATGGATCGGATGTACCAAACATTTCAGAGTTTTTCAATCCCTTTGCACCATATATTGTTACCGCAAGTACGCCAATGGCGCTATCTGAAATTTTTAAAAGTGCAAATAATTGAAATTAATGCGTGAACCATTGCGTTAGGCGGTAGATTGAGAAAATATCGCTTACCTATGGGATAACCACTAATCAGATACTCGGCATCCAATGTGAACTGATTTGGATCATACATCATTGGTCCCAGTGTGGCATTAATTTGTTCTTTGATAAATGGATGTAATCCGGGGATCTAAAAGAAAACAAAAGATTAAAGAACACACGCAAGAAGAATAGGAATAGCGACGAGCAACATACGTTGGCAATATCAAATCCAAATGTTTCACCACCGATTGGCTTCAAGGCATAATCAATATGTGGCTCTTCCAAAAAGCTCAAGTCGATTGTCTTAATGTGCGGGAATGTATTAATCAACTTCAATCTGACTCTCATCAATCCTGAGAAAGACATGTTCTCAAGTAATATGGGGATTCCAGCTCCAACCATGCCTCTTCCAACACGAACCGTAAGAACAATTTTGGGGTTGACTTTTTTGGCTATTTGAACCTTTGTCATGTTGGCAAGATCGTTGGGATTAAAGGAAAACTTCCAGTCCATGACCTTTTAAAGTTCAGTAATTGTGACCCGAAATATCAAGGCAAATTTTAATGAGGTGACATCGAAAACACGAGGTATTGCGAAGAGAAAATGGTGCAATATACTTTAAAATTGATAACATACCACCACATCATCTTCTGTCTTTGGGTAGGACCTGACCGAATCAATGACTGGTGGTTTTGTACCCAGCGTAAATGTTGTCAGACGGATGGAATCTAAGAATGATGGCGTAGAGGCGGCCAATATACCATCAGCAGTTTGTACGATGCTGCCTGATAGCACGGGCTCATATATCAACCAGAAACGACGTAAAAATTCGTTTATCCATTCCGCGGATTCTTCGCCGGTATCCAGCTCCAATTTGTCCTTTGCTAGTTCCCGAGAAATGTCGCTGCGCGCGTTACGATAAAATCTATTTACAGAAGTCTTGAAATATGTCGCTAGGAAAGCGATCCCCAAAACGGTTAATGTTAAGCGGAGAGAAAAAAAAAGGAAAAGAAACGTCGTAATTCTTGGGGAAAACTAACCGACAAAAGCACAAATTATTATGGCCGAACTCAAACCGCCACCAAGTGAGGTTGTAATCCATGTTGCAAACACAGCCACGAAGACTACTCCGGCATTCAACCAAAGATGTCCGAAATACAATTCACCCAAGATAGTTTCGAAAAAATCGTGCTCCTGGTCGGTGGCGCCAAGCTCGGACACTCGTTGCCAACCTATACGTGCCCAATCCGGAATATCGGACGCTGACTCTATTGACACGGGAGCCAGAGCACCTGGCATAAGTGAAGTCACTTTATCTTCTTCAGTTTTGTCATCAATGTCTGAAATAATCTCTTTGATGGCAGCCGGTTTAGTTGGAACGCTGGTACCATCACCTTGTGTGGCCTGTTTGGCTTTCACCTCAGGAGGGTCATTGGGGTCAAATGTGTATACTCGAGTCTGTGCATCTTCAAATTCCTTATTGATTGCAGCCTCGATGGAGACTTTTTCCGGAGGAGTTTTAACCGAATGTTCGTCCATTCTTGCTAGAGAACAAGAGAAACCATCTGATCAACAACCGATCCTATATTTATAGATTTGTGATAAGGAAAATTTTGAAACCTATTTTTACTTTTCTAAAACTTTTCCAAATGTAGAAACCGAGAGATTTGTACCATTTTCAAGATCATAGACCTGAATTACGTTTTTTGGATCATATGTGGTTGTACCTGTTCTACCTAAGGAATTTTTCTCACTGAAAGTATCAAATATGGTGAAATTAAAAAGCGAAAAAATTAAGAGAACGGATTACATATGATTGCGCCTAAAAGTATTGTTTGCGTAACTTTCGATCTACGATATCGGATGATGATTATTTATAAATGTTGGGAAATTTACTTGGGTCGACCAATGCGAATTTGACACGTTTTGATCACGCGAGGAAAATATCAGATCCATAGTACGTGACTTAAACGTAATAATCCGAATTGGGAAAAGTAATTTTATTTCGCCACAAGATTAGCACCATTTTTTTATTCGACTTTCTGGGCAAGCCAGTCGGGGTTGGGCGTTTTCTTTTCTTTTCTTTTTTTTTTTCATCACCTTTTGAATGGACCCACGTGATCATAGGGTTCACTAAGAATAAAAAAAATTGTGGCACATGCCTTCGCATCAATGGAGAGCAAACTTCGCAACACGGAATCTCCGATAATCAAGGTGTCCGACGATCGAACTTCGTTTATTAGAAATAATCAACAAGAGAAAGATATATTGTATACGTATCATAGACAAAAATAGAAACCACTATAGCCAATAGAAAATACTAATTTCACAAAAAGAATATTCTGTCACGCGTGAAGTGCGACAACACCTTGTCTTATTTGTTGATCGCGATGTTGAAATAATAACTTTGTAAGGTTTCTCCGTTGCTACCGATCAGGTTGAAAAAATAATCATAACCCCTTGAAGTTTCGGGTACGATAAAGGGCTCCGAACATCCAATCGATGCCTTGCGATTGATCGGAATAGTTTTGATGAGTCGTATGTCAGAACCAAAGCCCTTGTAAAGATGCGCCGACACTATGTCGGTGATTGTCGGGACCGAGGATGTGTCCTGAATTAAAAATTCCTTATTATTTCCACACACACTCAGAATGCAAAATTGAATGCAAAATTGTAAGCACTAACCCACTGTATAACATGCGATTCTCCAACACGAAGAACTGCGTTACTATGTGGTTCAGTGATACGTGCCGCTAAAAAACAACAAATATCATTAGAACGATATTTGAAAAAGGTGGAGAAAGGATCAGTTACCTGGCATGACTAACACTAATTTAAGAAACTATCGAAGGAGTGAAATAATCAACTTTAATGAAAAAAAGAAAGGAATGTGGATTTCCGTGCGAGTATTTATATGGCAAGAAAACACATCAATAGTAAAGCACTCTCATTATCCTACATTGTTGTTATTGGTTTACTAAAATAACCGTTTTTTCATTTTTTTTTTTTTTTTTTGAAATTAAAGTCATAGTGCGCGCAGTTGATCCCGGATGAACACAGATGTGTTGCCTCAGGGAATGAGTGTTGGGTTTCCAAACGAAAGATATTTGACGTGTGCGACAAATTGGTTATAGAAATTTCATTATTATGCATTACGTAAGACACCTCAATAATCGCTGTTTCACATTCGATCTCGTTTATGTCTCACCCGCTCATTTATCGTATAATACTTCCACTCGAACTCTGGTATCTCTTGAAAAATCGAAAAATAGTTATCAAATTAGCAACCTTCACGAAAGTCAGTTTTGTCACGTGCGTGCTGCACAATTTCTAAAAAACGCGCGTACATAACTCGCGTGATCTTATGATGGATGATTCAATCATAAACACTGAAAATTTTGACGAAAATGGTTTTTTTAAAAAAAAATGCACCTTTGAATATTGAAATTGTTTAACGATATAAATATACATATATATATATATATAACCACAATTTACAAGAAAAAAGTGGTGATTCAACCTAATGTCTTAATAATTCCATTAACGCAAAATTGCGAAAGTAAATCTACCTTGGAAACCAAATAATTTAGGTGAATAATTCCATGGGTGTGACTGCGTCGAACACAACAGATCCGGATAACTTTTTATTCTTCAAAAATTCCAATGGGAACACGACCAAGTGACCCTTAACTTTAGCCAATTCCTGTTTAGTTTTAGTCGCATCTTCTCTCGCTGACTCGCATATATGACCAATTGGAATCTTTGAATGATCAGGAACAAACGCCTTGTATTCATCCCAGTTGGTAACTAGAAAGAAATTTCGGTAGAATACGAATCTTAAGAAACATGGTTTTCAACTTTCTAACTTATGAACCTTCCATTTAACTTACCTGAATCATCAGGAACGCAATGGAAAACGTTACGGAAGGCCGCGGTGTTGGTTTCAGCAGTGCGTAACCAGAGGTTATAATAAAAATCATCATCAACTGGATCGACAACTTTTCTGTCTGCCTCACTGAGCTCCTGAGGATGAAAACCGGCATCAATTGGTGGAGGGTGACTAAGATGAGTTATTTTTTCATGATCCTGTTCACATTCCAGACCAAGATGTTCTTTGAAGATCGCACGTCGAAGTGTGGCTGCGAATTTTCCGGCCTCCCACTATATAAATTTAAATCTCCTTAGCTTTTGCTTTTATCGCAAAATGGTGCGCGAAATTTCATGGTTCCGTTGATATACCAACCCTTTCGCCAGCCATCCTTGATTGTATATAATCCTTGTCTTCAATAATTGCGGCAATCTCAGAGTCATGATCACCATTCTGTGATCTATCATTCAAATTCGCTAAGATGAAAGTTATATTATTTTTGGCATTTGCAATATTCGATATGGAAGCAGATAGAATGAATGAATACTAAATACCAGATCCAACTATTACAATCCTGTCATCAGCGATCAAGAGTTTTGAGTGAATATAAAGCTCCTCAGTTACATAAATTCCAGAAGGATCTACTTCAAACAAAGATTTTGCATCGACCGGATCAGAAGTGACTTCATCAATTAAGCTTGGGGCACCATGTTCATCCGAGAGTACACCCAACCCTCCTTTAACAGCATTATGATCAATTTTGTCATATGTTCGGAGCGCATAGAAAGCGATGAATCTTTGTGGATCAGTACAGCCTGCCTTCCTAATTTCTTCAAGTATTGAATGTCCGCCACGGCAGATAGATTGATATTGGAAGTGCATGACCAAACTTTATTTTTATAAAAAAACATTATTATTAACGTCAGCCTGTAAAACGTGCATACAACAAAGGCTTCAGTTGAGAGAATATTATTTACCGCA